GCCTGAACTGTGCTAACGTCTCCAACATGTGAGTGCATCTTGTGGAGCTGTCATCCAGGAATTCAGTTTTATAAGCCTCAAGTGAGGTTCTTTCCCAGAATTTTAAGACAAAGTATAGAAATAGAAGCTGGCCATAATATGAGCAGGAATAAGATGGATGAGATTCTTACAAAGCACTCCCAAGCCTTTAGTTTCTCAGATATTAAGAAATCATGCAGTCAAATAGAAAATGATAGAAAATAAAGTGAAATGCCAAGAATTTAATGACAGATATGTGCATGGGAGTTTAGACGGAATGCTTAGAATCTGAACAGAGGAAAACTGAAATGTGAGGGCTGTTGATGAGCTGAAAACCATTCACAGAAAGAGAACTGGTTCAAGTTAGATTGCGAGTATGACTGTTTAAGATACAATTATACCAAGAGGAAAGAGACAAGTTATAATGCTGTTAAAGATTAGTGGAAACATTCCTTAGGAATCCAGTGACTTCATTTAATTTGATTCTTTGCTCATGAAAGCACTTTCTGATCAATAATTTGTGGTCATTTCTTAGGCCAGGCATATTTCCCACTACAATTAATACAGTGAATTCTAGTTTGATGACTATTTCTTGTGAGTTTTGTTATCGTGAATATATTCCTCAGATGCAAGCATCCTAATAAAGCCCTTGCTTGAAGCATTCCATTACTACATCCAGTTTCTAGCAGCTGAGGCTCATGGAAACACTGCAGAGGAAGACAGGCTGATGGAGAATGTCAGGTTTGCAGGACCCTGCGTAAGGTTTTCTAGCCCTAAGCTCTATGGATTATTTAGACTTTTGTTATAGCTCAGATCTTATAAACCTTCTGAGACAGATGAAAGAGTAGGTTCTTATAGGAGAATATGAGGTTACAGCGAACAAATTCAGAAAAAAAAATTGCTTGAAAGAAGATGGGGACTGTACCTATGCTAAAAATATGAAAATAACAAAAACCAAAGGATATTATTGACAGTCAGCCAATATGTATGTTAGAAAGAGGCACCTCCTGGGTGGTGGAAGATAAAGCCCTATTGAAGGACACTACATGCCCCCATTCTCTTGTTATGAAATAAAATCCTCTGCAGCCTTTTTTCTATTTCTCCATGTAAAATATCAACTCAGGCCTGTTCTTTCTTATAATATTGACTAATAAAATTTCAGAACTTAGCTTTAAAAATGGAAGTCTATCATTAAAAAGATGATTGTCAAAAAACTAAGCAAGTAGCCCCTCTCCCCTGAAGCTACAGTTACAAATCTCCTTTATAAAAGTAGTCAAAAGAATGTGATCTAATGCGTTGTTAGATTCTCTCTTGACCAGCACGGGGTTCTGAGCCAGTATTCAAAACTACCACCGAGTTGTTTGTTCTCGATTAATGAAAACTCAGGAATGTCACTTGATTGTAAGGGATCTCCTAGGACGTCCAAACACTAGACGTTGTTGCACAGCCCTTAGATAGATATCTATGCAGCATGCAATTCTATCCGTTGGCTTATTTGATCCTGTGCTGTGAGGGTAACAATGCTGTGTTTGACATCTGTCTTTTTAACTGGTTACTAAAACAGGACTATGTACTAGTTTCAAAGGAGATCAATGGTACTTTCTTTTTCTCCTTCATGCTCAGAGGAACAAAGAAAATCCTGATTGCTAGATTAATTTAACAAATAATCTGAGAGCCTGATCCATTTAACTAACCATACAATGTTAAATTGGCATCTAGAATTGTGCATATTTCAGAATCTTACTCGATAAGCTCTTCACAGCTCATACCTAGTTGTTTCATCCTGAAGTTCTGTCACCATTTTGAAAAGGCTGCTCATAGTACAGAGGAAGCCCTTGGGGTAACTTTCAGTCAGACCACATGCTCAGCCCTTTGGGCTGCTCCTTTCTGCCTGTCTCTGTAGACTTTAGCCCCACCCACCATTTCTGATTCCTTGAATGCTGATACCCACTTTCTTACTTCATCTGCCTAGAATGCAATTTTGTACTCCCCCTACCCCCACTGGTAATATTATTTATTCTGTGCTCCTTGGGCTTTCCATACACATCTCTATGGAAGCATTTATTATCTTATGTGTTTTATTTATTTACTTATTTATTTATGGACAATGCGTATATATGATTCAAAATTAAAGAGCAAAAGAGGGTTACAATCGAAAAGATCCTCCATCCATCCCTCCTTCTAAGCCATCTAGCTTTCCTTCCTCAGAGGCAACCAAATGTTAGCAGTTTATCTAGTATCCTTCTACAGATATTTTACATGTATACAAACATATATCTATACAAAATTCAACTGTGTACCATTCTATACCTTGCTTTTTACACTTGACAGTAAATCTTGGAGATCATCACATATCAATACCTGGAGAGGGCGTATAGTACACGGTGGTTACATATATGGATTTGGAAGCTAGACATTTTAATCTTAGTTGTGCAACCTCAGGCAATTTTCTCAACCTCTCAGAACCTCCATTTTATAATCTGTGAAGCAGGTATAACGATAGTAATTTAACTTAAAAGGTTGTTATGAAAATTAAATGATTCAATGCATGTAAGGAACTTTTTAGGACATTATCTGGCATATGGTAAGCAATAAATACTAGCTGCTATTACGAAAAAGAGCCTTCTCATTAGCTTTTACCATCAGGTAGGATAGTGTACTGTAATTTATTGCTTTATTGTTGATCATGCAGATTGCTTCTAGTCTTTTGTACTACAAACTGGGCTGCTGAAAAATCCTGCACACATGTCATTTTGCACATTTTCAAGAATGGTAAATTCCTAGAGGCAGGGTTGCTGGGTGTAAAGATATATGCATTTTTAATTTTCATAGGTATTGCCAAAATTTCCTCCATGAAAGTTCTACTAATTTTCAGGGCCACCAGCAGTGGCTGAGAATTAAAGTCAGGGAGCCTTATCCAGGATTTTCCATTCCTATTTTAGTATATAATGACCGGCCTATAGCAAATAATAGATGCTGAATAAAACGTTAGTTAATTGGGTGGAAGAATGGTTTAGGAAATACAGTTGGGTTTTGGTGGCAGCAAGAAAAACATTCTAAATCCACTTTGGCACCTTGTTTCCTAATAAAGCCATTGAAGATTATTAGAAGGCAGGGTAGAAATAGTTAACGTTTACTGATCACTTTGAGCTAGTCTACTGTTACCAAGATTTCTTTTAGAAACTGGAAAAGGTGATAAAAAAAGCATTACTAAAGTTTTGTTAACACTGTAATGCAACCAGATGGCCGAAGATCGTTAACAGAAATTTAGCCAGAGCCCCATTGATTTACTGGCTTTCCTGTAAAAACAATGCTTTATTATTGTAATAATGGGCCTTCGCATTTAGTATCTCATATGATTCTGATACATATGCAAAGATACAAAGGCAAAAAGGACAAAAGAACATTGAGTGATTAAGTTCTGCTAAACTTTAAATTTATCATTGCAATCCTCAAGTTATTCCCATTTTAGAGGAAAGATATGGAGATCCCTATCTTATGTAACTTGCTGCAAGACACGTAACCAAGTGGCCTAGTTGGGCTAAGAATCTAGCACAGCACTAGGAATGTGGTTAATGCCCAATAAACTTGAATAAATGAAAAGTTGCCATGTAAGAGTGACTGATAAAGCAAAAGCCTATTTCAGTGCTTCATTTACTCTTTCCACCTGTACAGAGGTGGGGATTGTGACCTACGATAGGCAGTAGATTCTACTGCTAAGGGCATAGACTCTTAAATTTGGCTGCTTAAATTGCATTCACCCTAGTTTTTGCTGTGACCTTGGGTAAACTACTTCTGTTTTGCCTTATTGAAAAATAGAGCTGTTCCAACAAGTTAACAGACGTTGAGCACTGTAACATGCCATGCTGTACACTGTGCTTGCTAACAGTACATTCATTCTACAGATCAGTACTCAAGAGTGGTTAAATTTATGGTAACATAGCAAGTGATGGAGCTGGGGTCCCAAGCCAGTCCTTCCATTCCTAATCCCACTTGGTCTGCGACCTTCACTACACCTTGTGCATACATCTGCAGTTTGGCAAGCAAGTGGAGACGCACATTCACTGACTAATCCCTTTTTCTTGCTTAATGTATTCACATCTCTGAGTCTACAGCATCCTCTCTTCCCTGCGAAGCCACCGAACAGCCTGCCTCACCTTTACCAAAGACGGCCTCAGTGACTCGGGGGCAGCCTTGGCTGGTACCTCCTCCTCCACCTTTGTTTGGAACGAGGAAGGGGACGGATCGAGAACTGCGAGGCTTTCCCGCCTACGTTCCTCTAGTTTTCAATTTGGTCCGAAGGAGTCAAATAAAAAGCTGGGCTTTTTTTTTTTTTTTTCTTTTTCTTTCCTCTCACGGATGCGCCGTTTTCCTTTTGTCCTTAGAATTCTGGTCTACCCTCAACTTCCTGTTCGGCCGTGGCAAGGACAGGACCGGGACTCTAGGTAGTGGTGGTGCTAAGCGCCACCGTAAGGTGCTGCAGGACAACATCCAGGGCACCACTAAAGCCTGCCATCTGGCGTCTGGCCCGGCGCAGCAGTTAAGCGCACCTCGGGCCTCATCTACGGGAAGGCCCGCGGGGTGCTCAAGGTCTTCCTGGAGAAGGTGATCCAGGATGCTGTCAGCTACACCGAGCACGCCAAGCGTAAAACGGTCACCGCTATGGACTTTGCCTACGCGCTCAAGCGCCCTCTAAAGGCTTCGGCGGCCGATTCCATTTTATCTTGCAGCTCCGTCCTCACTTGTAAGAGGCTTCAGAGCCATCTACTTTTTCTTCCTTTTAAAGAGCTGAAAAGCTGTTCAGATATTAACTTGTTCCTTTATTTCCTGTATATTTATGCTAACTCCATGTTAATTAGTTTTCTGCACGTAAGAACAAAGCTGATATCGGAAATGTTTGCAGATATCACCCATAGTACCTCCTAAAAAGTACACCCAATTTTGAGTTGGTAGACAAAGTGTAGCAGTTCTTTCTTGGGAAGTGTTAGGTGGCTCTGAAAAGAGCCTTTGGGTTCGACAGTGCCTACATTGGTCTACTTGGAGCTGGTGTACTTGGTGACGGCCTTGGTGCCTTCCGACACCGCGTGCTTGGCCAGCTCCCCGGGCAGCAGCAGGCGCACGGCCGTCTGGATCTCCCTGGAGGTGATGGTCGAGCGCTTGTTGTAATGCGCCAGGCGCGACGCCTCGCCCGCGATGCGCTCGAAGATGTCGTTGACGAACGAGTTCATGATGCCCATGGCCTTGGACGAGATGCCGGTGTCGGGGTGGACCTGCTTCAGCACCTTGTACACGTAGACCGAGTAGCTCTCCTTGCGGCTGCGCTTGCGCTTCTTGCCGTCCTTCTTCTGCGCCTTGGTCACCGCCTTCTTGGAGCCCTTCTTCGGGGCCGGAGCGGACTTGGCGGGCTCAGGCATTCTGAACAGCTGCAAAGGTAAATGTACAAGTAGAAAGGCCACAAGCGGCACCTCTTTAATTACAGTCTCTTATGCAAATGAGGTGGAGTAAAGCTCTCTGGTGATTGGTGGTTACTCTTGGGTGACGTCATCTGGTTTCGCCCAATCAAGATACTATTCTGCAAGTCGCGTTTCCATTGGTCTAAATGAAAATGAAACATGAGCCAATCATACAGCTTGCTTTTCGCGCCCAGCAGGGCCTATAAAATATGCATTTCAGCACTTTCGTTTCAGTCAATCCTGACAACAGCTGCTGCATCCTTAACGATGTCTGGACGAGGCAAGCAGGGCGGCAAAGCTCGCGCCAAGGCCAAGACCCGCTCTTCTCGGGCCGGGCTGCAGTTCCCCGTGGGCCGAGTGCACCGCCTGCTCCGCAAGGGCAACTACGCCGAGCGGGTCGGGGCCGGCGCGCCGGTGTACCTGGCGGCGGTGCTGGAGTACCTGACGGCCGAGATCCTGGAGCTGGCGGGCAACGCGGCCCGCGACAACAAGAAGACGCGCATCATCCCGCGCCACCTGCAGCTGGCCATCCGCAACGACGAGGAGCTCAACAAGCTGCTGGGCAAAGTCACTATCGCTCAGGGTGGTGTCCTACCGAATATCCAGGCCGTGCTGCTGCCCAAGAAGACCGAGAGCCACCACAAGGCCAAGTAAAGACCAGCATTGGAAGCAACTAAACCAAAGGCTCTTTTCAGAGCCACTTCTATAATCATGAAAAAGGTGACACTGCGCTTCAGTTTTTTACTCACTACAACTTGTGAACATCACTCACTCTTGCTAGTTAGGCTAAAGTCCTAGCTACTTTGATCTTGTCCATAAGTACTGGGATCTAGCAGCCTTTACCAAGAAAGTAAGTTGATGTTTGTGTTACAAGTATAACTGCGAAGTCATAGTTGAATCTGCAGGATCAATAAATTGACCCAAGATAAATATCTAGGCTCATGTGTGGAGTTAGCGGTAGGTGCTTTAGGTGATGTGCTACCTTTGAGGGGTCTCTTGGAGGAACACAGGAGTTTCTATAAATGAAGCACAGAAACCCACTGGGGGTTTTAGTTTTTAGCTTAGTTTTAGTAATCCTTTTTAAAAAGTTTAACTTGCTTTGAACTCAGCTAACTAAAAGCACTTGCATGTAATTTGTATTTATATGTTACCTGACTACATTACCATAGTGCCAAATATGCAGATGTTCAAGTACAGTGGTCCAAGCTTGATTATAACAACAGTGGTACTGGAAGCTAGTAAATTGGTTCCAAAAGCAAAGGATAGAGACCTGCACTTTGAAAAAATATGAACTCCTCTTCTGAAAATGTCAAAGGCCATTAAGAGGCATAGTGAGATAAAAGACTGGTATCTTGTCCGTATTTCTATTTGGGCATAACAAGGTCCTTTTATTCTAGGCCTTGGAAAAGATCCAAACATGACGCTTGCCAGTTTTGCAATTTCAAAAAACAGACACAAAGACTATTTCTTTTGTTTCCTCTTTCATTCTAACATACTTAAGCTTCCCATAGATATTTATTTCACACTTAGGTATCACGCATTGAGGATACAATGTTAATAAAACACTGCCTGTCCTACAGAAACTCAGTCTAATGGGAGAAACATACAAAAGTAAACAATTAACAAGGACACAATGTAGCAAGAGAAGTAAGCACAGGATATTAGAAAAGCATAGAGGTGAACGTCTGATCTGAGGATTAAAGGGATTTGGGAATTAGAGGAAAGGATAGGGATTCCAGCAGAAAATAAGCATCACCAGACTCATGGTTTCTGATATATGCGGACAAATGACAAGAAGTTTGATACTGGTAATAAGAGGTTACAAGACATAGGAAGAAACCAGAAGGGATCTGTAGGCCGCTCTCTTGGTTTTAAATACTTTTTTCCTTTTATTTTTCCACAGGGGCGATTCGCCCTAAACTAAGATCTATTACCAATCTTTCTCTTTTTTTTTTTTCCCACCCCCTCCCCAACCACTCCCGCCTCCCTCCCGGCCCCCCACCAAAGCCCATTACATAGCTTTGTATAGTTGTAAGTTTTTCTGGTTTTTCTATCTGATCTCCCGCTACAGCGTGGCTACTGACACGAGGAATGTGGTTCCGCGTTGGGGGAACCGAACCCAGGCAGGCCGTGGAAGCCAAGCGCGCTGAACTTTAACCACTGGGGCATCAGGGCTGGTTCTAAACACTTTTTCTGTACTAATGACTCCCAAATCTTTACGTCCATCCTAGACTTATCTCCTGAGTTTCGACATAAATATTCATCTACTTTCTGAAATTCTTGAATATCTCCACAAAACTCAAAATCATATCCCACACTCATCATCACTACTTCCCTAATGATTTTTATCTTAGTACTTGGCATCACCATCTACCTACTAGCATGAGCCTAAATGGTCTGGTGTCATTGAATATTCTTTTTTGTGTGCCATCACTATACCAAAATAATTCCTTGTATGGTGTGATGAAAGCAAGTTGAAAGTCCAGAAAGAGCTCCTGTAGAAGGCTAACAGACAGTTCAACACATGGAGTGTTTGAGAGACATGAAGTATCTGTGTCCACATCCTTAGAAATGTCCACATAACTAGACCTACTCACTGCCACTGAATAAATCTTCATAAAATCAGAACTGAAAGATTAATTCAGAGAAATATATTGACTGCCTATCTCCAGGATAGGGTACCCTATCCAGCCAGCAAAAGTAGTGATCAGTGTAGAAATGGCTATCTCTGTTGTGGACCCTCCCTGACTTATAAATAGCTAGCTCTGTTTCCCACCCCAGAAGGAAAGAAGGCACTGCTTACACACTCAATACCAACCTGTTTAGAAACTGGCTTTAGTTTGGATCAGTAGGGCCCTCAAGGAGGGCGGGCTGGCAGGGAGGTCACTGCTTCCCTCCAAGTATTTTATCCTCCTTTCCAGAGGAAGACTGATTACTGAAAGGGGACTCTTTTATTTTGCTTAAGATGCTGATTCAAATAGGAGGTATCAAAACAGTTTAAATTGGTAACGTATTAGCATCACCCTTACTTCAGACATGGAAAATCATAGGTTCTACTACTCCCCATGACCCCACTCACAGGAAGGTAATGAGGGTGATCACGAGTAGATGGTTTAACGTTGCACTAGTTATCTAATTTTTTAAAAAGTACTAAGAATGAAACTATATTCTTTCCACTTGTTTCCAAGTTGATAGATAGAGATGACATACCTATACAAGTCAATGTGCAGTAAAGTCTACTTGAATGCTTGGATGAGATTTGTGTATTAGGGAAAAAGGATTAACCTACACCACAGCTAAAACTGGTAGTGTAAATTGGGGCAGTAGCCGGTCACGACAGAGAAGAGCACCTGTAGGGAACTTAACTGCCAGATACAGTCCCTGCTGGAGGAGCTTCCAGTCTGAAAAACTAGATTATAAAATGCCAGGAAACTGGGATTATGTGCCACGGATAAAACGAGCATCAGTAAGGATTACAAGGAAACAGTCCTTTTCCGTGTACATGTGGGCGGCTCTGAAAAGAGCCTTTGGGGATGAATGGGAGACCTTGAGGCTCAGGCCCTTTCCCCGCGAATGCGACGCGCGAGCTGGATGTCCTTGGGCATGATGGTGACGCGCTTGGCGTGGATGGCGCAGAGATTGGTGTCCTCAAACAGCCCCACCAGGTAGGCCTCGCACGCCTCCTGCAGCGCCATCACGGCCGAGCTCTGGAAGCGCAGGTCGGTCTTGAAGTCCTGCGCGATCTCGCGCACCAGGCGCTGGAAGGGCAGCTTGCGGATCAGCAGCTCGGTGGACTTCTGGTAGCGGCGGATCTCGCGCAGGGCCACCGTGCCGGGCCGGTAGCGGTGGGGCTTCTTCACGCCGCCCGTGGCCGGCGCGCTCTTGCGAGCCGCCTTGGTGGCCAGCTGCTTGCGCGGCGCCTTGCCGCCGGTGGACTTGCGAGCCGTCTGCTTTGTGCGAGCCATGGCCTGAACGTTCGATTCGTGTAAAAAGTGAAGGCTGGCCGCATTATTTATAGTGACAGTCAGAAGCTGATTGGACAAAAGGAGGCCAGAACTACCCAACTGTCACGGGATTGGTTAAAGGACTCGGAATTTTTATTTGTTGTGCCTTAAACCCTCTGATATTCTTAGGTACCATGCCCTCAACATTTTTTTCTGTTTTCCCTGTAAAGTTATTCACTCTATGCCAGAGATTTCCAGTAGACATGCGAGCTACACTAGAAATTTTTCTAGGATCCACATGAGAACAAAATAAATCCAGGAGAAATTACTTTTAATACTATGTATTTTACTTAACTCAATACACCCAAAATATTCCCATGTAATCAACAAAATTCTTCGATATTTTAAATTCCTTTTTACTTTGCACTAAGTCTTCAAAATCCAGTGTGTATCATACATGTATAGCACTTCTTAAGTCAGACTAGCCACGTGTCCAGTGATCAATAGCCACAATTGGCTAGAGGTTACTATACTAGACAGCTCAATTCTGTATCCTCTCCCCTCAATTTTCTATTCTTTGAACACTTAAAAGTTTAAGAATTTTTTTTATTTTTCAGCAAGAAAACTCTGATTTGCATATGAGGAATTCTAGGGCTAATAACTTCACAGACAAATGCATCCTTACAAGGATTTCTTTCCATTTTAAGATAATATAATTTCACTGTAGCATAATTTCTTGTTCTACTATCCTAGAAATTCAAAGTTGTAACAGAAATCTACTGTCTCATTAATTTGGGGCAGTGGGGTGCTGGTTTCATCATGGTCATGAAGCAGTGTGTATGTCTCTAATTTAAACGAGTTATTTGTAAATCCTTAGCTCTTAATGAATCTAATTCTCCATCACCAGTAACTTCTGGTTAGGACAAGCTGAATCACTCCCTGAGTTTCCATCCACATCCAATAGTTCTCACTAGCAACTGGCAAAGCCCATAGGATAGGTCCCTTGCATGATACCTGATACACCTAATCCCCCATCCCAGGGTTAGAAGTTACCAACTATTAAAAAAGGAGAATTTAATTCCATGCGTGTTTCAACAAGATCTTTAAGTCACAATAAAAAGACAAAGAAAACCACATTTTAAAAGCAGAATTTAGAATTTTTATCCTGACATGATCACTTTATCAAGCACCTCAGTTGATTTTTCCAATAAAAAAGCTGATTTAAAATGCCCTTAGTTTAAGAATGTGAAACAAATTTAGACATGAAACTAGGTCTTTCTCACAAATCCAAAGGCTCCAAAAGTGGGCTCTGGCCTAGCATAGAAGTTTGAGTTGACCTCTGGATCTGCGGGATGTTTTTAATAAAAGCCAGAAAACAAGTGTTTTAAAACTGCCACATTTGCCTCTCAGAAAGCAAATAGCTCGCCGGCCAGTACTTTCCTTCACTTACAGGCTCGTGATGGCGAAGGGGGGGTAATGACATCTGAGAGTGAGCAGACTCTACATCACACAACGAGTTACGAGACTAATCCAATTACCTATATTGCGTTTCACAAGTCAAGCTTTAAAAGCTAGTGCTCAGTTCTTCCAAGAAAATGGAAGGTGGCTCTGAAAAGAGCCTTTGGTTTGACTGGGAGATTTGAGTTGCTGCAAAACGAGTCGACTTCTACTTGCCCTTGGCCTTGTGGTGGCTCTCGGTCTTCTTGGGCAGCAGCACGGCCTGGATGTTGGGCAGCACACCGCCCTGCGCGATGGTCACTTTGCCCAGCAGCTTGTTGAGCTCCTCGTCGTTGCGGATGGCCAGCTGCAGGTGGCGCGGGATGATGCGCGTCTTCTTGTTGTCGCGGGCCGCGTTGCCCGCCAGCTCCAGGATCTCGGCCGTCAGGTACTCCAGCACCGCCGCCAGGTACACCGGCGCGCCGGCCCCGACCCGCTCGGCGTAGTTGCCCTTGCGGAGCAGGCGGTGCACTCGGCCCACGGGGAACTGCAGCCCGGCCCGAGAAGAGCGGGTCTTGGCCTTGGCGCGAGCTTTGCCGCCCTGCTTGCCTCGTCCAGACATCGTTAAGGATGCAGCAGCTGTTGTCAGGATTGACTGAAACGAAAGTGCTGAAATGCATATTTTATAGGCCCTGCTGGGCGCGAAAAGCAAGCTGTATGATTGGCTCATGTTTCATTTTCATTTAGACCAATGGAAACGCGACTTGCAGAATAGTATCTTGATTGGGCGAAACCAGATGACGTCACCCAAGAGTAACCACCAATCACCAGAGAGCTTTACTCCACCTCATTTGCATAAGAGACTGTAATTAAAGAGGTGCCGCTTGTGGCCTTTCTACTTGTACATTTACCTTTGCAGCTGTTCAGAATGCCTGAGCCCGCCAAGTCCGCTCCGGCCCCGAAGAAGGGCTCCAAGAAGGCGGTGACCAAGGCGCAGAAGAAGGACGGCAAGAAGCGCAAGCGCAGCCGCAAGGAGAGCTACTCGGTCTACGTGTACAAGGTGCTGAAGCAGGTCCACCCCGACACCGGCATCTCGTCCAAGGCCATGGGCATCATGAACTCGTTCGTCAACGACATCTTCGAGCGCATCGCGGGCGAGGCGTCGCGCCTGGCGCATTACAACAAGCGCTCGACCATCACCTCCAGGGAGATCCAGACGGCCGTGCGCCTGCTGCTGCCCGGGGAGCTGGCCAAGCACGCGGTGTCGGAAGGCACCAAGGCCGTCACCAAGTACACCAGCTCCAAGTAGACCAATGTAGGCACTGTCGAACCCAAAGGCTCTTTTCAGAGCCACCTAACACTTCCCAAGAAAGAGCTTGTTCGCTATTACGTTTATTTTTCTGTGTAAAGCAAAATTGGCGGTTTTATTTTTCATTGAACTATGTAAGTATAAATAACCAGGTGAAGTAATTTTTTTAGGTATCCTTTGGGACTGGCTTCGTGTATCTATATTTTTCCACTTTTAAGTTCCAGTTGCCTTTTATTCTCAAATTTCTTGTACTTAATTAAATGGAAATAATGCCTCTGCCCTTTGGGCTGCGTATTTGAAAATCCTGCGGTGTAGTGAGAGTAGCCCGGACGTCAGGACCGTTTCTGGGGGTTCCTTTCAGTTTTTCTCTGGATAGACAACGCTGGTTATTGCATTTGGAGCTGTAGTTCGGAGTCGGAGCATTATCCGGAAGTTGGTCTCAGTTGAGAAGGCGGGGAGCACTCTTCACACTGTGTTTGAGTGCTTGCTCCTCAACATGTAGCAGGCTCACAACCTTATGCAATCTTTTTAATAGTGACACTCGCCCTGATATGGGTTTCCCTACATTAAGCTCAGCATCTATGGGATTAAAACCAAAGCACTAATTTTCTGCTTACTCCTTAACTTCCTGGCTGCAGAATCCACTATCTGCCGTGAAGACAAATGGCCAAGGACAACCACCTGGATTCTCATCTCTTCTTCCTCCTCTGCAAGTAGTCTCAAGGCCAAACACAGGCTGGTGGAAAAGCTCCAACCAACAAGGCCATGTGCCCCCCCACCCCACATAAAGCCCCAAATAAAAACCCTTACTTTTAGCTTTTCGGGGAGTTTGGGCTTTCAGCATTAACTTCCCTTTTTCCTTACTCAGCACTGTGCTATAATAAAATTCCTACTTTCTTCCACTACATCTCGTGTCAGATTGGCTTGCTGTGCAACAGGTGAGCAACCTCACTTCAGGTTCAATATCAAAATCTCTGTCTTTATCGTCGGAAGTTAAGGTAATCTTAAAGATAACAGTGCTGACAAGACTTGGTGACTTGAGTTATGAGACAGCATAATTTAGGTTGTGTTCTGTTTTCTGTTTCTCGCCTAGTTACCTCTCCATACAATTTACCCCACCCTGGTCCACCACCTCCCATCCCCTTCTGTAAAATTATAAGCATTGTTAAAGGCATTAAATAGCTTTTAGTTGTGGTGTAACAAGCATGGTTTGAAAAGTAAACCTGAGTCCTTTCTTTGTGTCAGGCTGAGTGAAGAGTTGGAAAGCTCAAAATTTCTTTTCCTTCTCCACCTCTTCAGTTCTCTTTGAATGAACATATCCAGTAAAGCAATGTGTCTTTTCTATGTTCACAGAAAAGCCTGGTGCCATTGATGACGGGGGAAGCCAAAGAGCATGTTTGGTTTAGGGGGTTGCATTAGGTTACTAGTGGCAGAAACCTGGGGAAGAATTATTGTTCTATCTTTACTCAAGAGTAAGGAATTGGAGAGTGTAGATTGCAGGAAACAAAGTACAGCGTGGTGCGTGTACTTGTTCTTGAGGAAAACTTCAAGATTTGCTTATTCAATCCATCCACCATTATTCACTCCTTCACATTTATTCAGAAAACTGCTCTTGAATGCCTAATATGTGCTAAGAAATATTCCTGCAATGGGCAAGTCCCAGCATCCTCAGATGAAATAGTTAAGAAAATAACTCTAAAGAAACTGGGAAGGAAGCAAAGTGGAGCCTGCCTAATTTGATAAAATCCTGTAGTGGGGGAGGGGAAGGGTACTCTAGGCTGAGAAATCTGAACACAGAGTAGGCTGAAGTAATCCTTTAGAGTTGCGAGACACTGGAATGGCTGGAGATAAATGCAGACAGGTAAGCAGGAGGTGGGAGGGGGACCTTATGATACTGAGGGCCTTTGTACACCTTGAAGAAGGCTATAAAGTTTATCTACCAGGGGAAGGTGGAGTCTATGCAGATTTCGAAATCTTGTAAAATGTATGATTCAGATTTATATTCTGATGGCTCTGTTGAGAGTAAATTGGAAGTGGGAGAGATCCAAGTTCAAGAGGCTGGAAAAAACAGCCAGTGGTGAGGGTCTGAACTAAGACAGAGACAGCAGTCAGAAAGAGGAGGAAGAGGGCAGGAAAGGGGGATTTAGCAGATAAAGGAGGCAGAAAGATTAGGGCTTGCTGCAGACTGACCTACAGGGGAAGGTGAAGAAGGACAAGCCTGGAATGATGTCCAGCTTTCAGCCTGGCAATCTATGTGCTCTAGAAAGGGGTTTCAGGAGGTGAGTTTGGGAGAAACAGAGACTTGCCATTGTTCATTCTGATGAGCTTCAAGATGCACCACGCCAAAATATGGTGCCTTGACATACTGAATATCTTTAGCCGAAGGAGTTTGAGAAAATGGCAGAAGGAGGAAGGTCACTCTGGTCTCCCTCCACTTCTTTCCTGAAAGCCGGAGATAAATCTCCCATGTGAAAGACACCCTCCCTGTACCAGGAGGGAAGGAAACATCCTTATCACCACAGACAGGATTTTAGGGCAGAAGGCTGAATAAACAAATCTTGTTACTTCTTCACCATTTGCTATCCCTGGTCCAAACCCCTTTGTCTCCTCAATTCTTCACAAATTTAATTGTTTCTTTGTCTAAAAGGTATAAAAGCTTCCTGCTCTGGTCATTTCTTCAGGTCTTTATTCTCTTGTGAAGGCTCCCATGTACATGTAAAAAATCAATGAAATTTGTATGCTTTTCTCCTGTTAATCCGCTTTACGTCACTTGAGGTCTTAGGCCAACCAGAGACCCTGATAGAGGAGAAATTTTTGCCTCGGCTACAGTCTTCATGCCCTCAGTTTGCTTGGGTGTATTCTATTCCAGTGTGCCAAGATTGTTAACAAACTCACATTTAAATCCAAATGTCGCAGCTGATTATTCTGAAGCAGGAGTTAAGTTCTTTGAAAAGAAAAGTCTACTTCTGTTGTTAGTCTCATGAGAACTGTGGAACGTCTAGAAGAGACTAAGTCCTACTAGAGATGCTAAATATACTTGAATTTCTTGTGGAATAATAAAAGAGCAAAAGTCAGATGAATTTTGGGCCCCATGTTTTGGGAAAGGGTAGGCACACTCAGCAAAATACAGTGGTTTAGGGCAAAGACTCTGTGTTCTTTTCGGCTCAAGATTAAGAAACTTCCTGAGGCTTTCAAGAAGTCTTTCTAACAAAAGTAATGACAAACTTCCCTCCCTTTCTTCTTTCATATCTTTTGTCTATGCTTACTATAACTTGATTTTAACTCTATATATGGAATATTCTCTTTATTGATACAATGGTGATATTTGAAGGTGGGGAAATTGAGAAGAAGCCTTAAGGAGGATCTTATGTGATTATATCCTTATTTTAGCTATAAGATACTGTTTAGGAGTTGTTTTAAAACATGCAATTCTAGGTAAAGATTTATGCAAAGGTATTAGAAGTTTAAACAAAGTAAAGATTGTTATAGGTGCTTTATTTAGACTAAGACGTGCATATAGAATAAATGTGAATTATGTAGGAGAGGGAAAAGTACCCCTCTAACTTCTTGGCTGAGACCCCTGTAATAAAAGACAGATTAACAAGAGAGAAACAAACAAGTTTGTTAACATGTATACATGAGAGATAGCCTAGGAAAAATGAATATCTCAAAGAGGCTGCTTAGAATTTAGGTTTAAATACCATCTTACTAGGAAAAGAGGAGAAAGGATATAAGCCTCTTAGGAGAGAGTAAACGATGTTTTTTATGTACAGGTCTCCTTGAAAACAGAAAAAAATTAGAAAGCACATTATTGTTAACTACTAGAGATTTTTCAATGTATCATAGAACATGCTTGTGATGGGATATTATGAAGACAATCACGTTTTTCATTTTCTCCACGTAAATTTTTAATTTTGCATTCCCATTCCAAAGCAATTTTTAAAGTCTTAAGGCTTGGTAACTAGTTACTACGGTTCAAAACACAGTACAAGGGAACATAAAAAGGCCTGTGTGTTGCCAGTAGATGCCCCTCCCCCACTCAGGGGAGAATTCCCGCCTCCTTTCTTGCGTTCTCAATTCGGTCCGCCAACGGACCTATAAAGGCCTGCATCGGCCGGCGCGGCGACAAAGCGTTGTGGGGTTTTGTCTCTCACCATGTCTGGTCGTGGCAAAGGCGGCAAGGGCCTGGGCAAAGGCGGCGCCAAGCGCCACCGTAAGGTGCTGCGGGACAACATCCAGGGCATCACCAAGCCCGCCATCCGGCGCCTGGCCCGGCGTGGCGGCGTCAAGCGCATCTCCGGCCTCATCTACGAGGAGACTCGGGGGGTGCTCAAGGTCTTCCTGGAGAACGTCATCCGGGACGCGGTCACCTACACCGAGCACGCCAAGCGCAAGACGGTCACCGCCATGGACGTGGTCTACGCGCTCAAGCGCCAGGGGCGCACCCTCTACGGCTTCGGCGGCTGAGTGCTTTCGTCTCTTTTCCCTTGACAAATTGAAAGGCCCTTTTCAGGGCCCCCACCCTTTCACCTGAGGAGCAGTGATGCTAGTTTGCCCGTGGGTTTTGCGTTCTATTTCTGGCTTTACATTCCTAATTGCTGACTTTATCTTATGTATCGTTCTTGGGTTAGGGAGAAAGCAAAAGTTGGTGGTTTGCTTGTAGTTGCATTGAATTCAGATTTGTTAAGTGTTTCATCGGGTAACAGTACTCTAGTGGGATGTTTCCATTTTAATAGAAAGCATGATAGGACAGAGTCAGAAGGAAACATCCAAGTACATGGGTTTTAGGTTTGAGCAGAATAGTATTCTCTGATTTGTAAATAAGGTACATCGTGTATGTTAGAATGGGATAGAAGGAATGAGAAGTCCACCTGACACCTTAGCCCTAATTCCTGAGATGTGGCCTGGTCAGACATGAGGACTTAAAATTCCACCACAATTTGGTGACACCTATTTTGGTGCCATCTGTCTTCTGCTCAAGAAACAAATAAAACTCATGGCTGTAAAACAGGCTAATTTGCAAGCTACAATTGTGACCAATGATACTTACCCTTTCATGTCTCTTTGATAGACCAAGTATGTCATTGGCCCCTTGTTCTAGTCCTAGTTAGCACTCAGTGTAGAAAGCTGGTAGAGCAATTACATGCTAACTTAAGTAACATCCCACAGAACAATTGGTGAGGGTGGGATGCAATTAAAATGGCTTTTAACTAAATTATAAGGAAATGAGGTCGAATTATAGAAATGTTCTCTAGGATGAAAAAAATACAAGGCAGCCCTCTAACCCAGGAGGGCTACTCAAAAGAGACCATTGGTACAGAGTGGAAAAGGAATTAAACAAGACATTAGGAGATAAATCCAGGCCTAAACTCAGAGAAGGCCTTTGCATCCTCCCAGAGGAGGTCTTAGAAACCATAGGAAGAAACCCAAGATGAAAACTTGGGTGTTGATGGAAAGCTTGACGAATGCAGATACACAGACTAAAGTAACAATTGCCCACATGTACATAAAAAGAGAAGACAATGACCAGATTTATATATTTGGAGGCTGAAGTTAAAAACTTTAAAAATTCCCTTGCCCCCCCAAGAGTTAACCTTTGTAAAATGAAATGCTAAATCAGCATCTAGCCACTCTCTCAATTCAGGAATGTTTCCTCAAGGACTCTAGAGGCATCTCTGAAATAGAATCGTTAAGGAAGAGAACACTCTTATCTCCCAGGTTCCTTGGAGGAGGTGGGCCTATCAGCTATCACATGACGCCAAATTGCAAAACTTTCCTGTTTTGAGTGGGACGTACCAACTTAGCTGTATGAGAGATGTCTTTCTGTCTTTGCAATCCCTTTAGCAGACTGTCCGTGACGTGCATCACATTCTGGGTTGATGCTTGTTCAATAATAAAACTTGTGATTCTATTACTTCTGTGGAGAGGTTTTTCTGGATCAGGAGATTTTGTTTTTAACTATATTTTCCCGTCACCTTCTGAGGGTCTATTATCTGTTTGTGGCTTTTCATTGATTTCTTGAATAACTTTGACATCTCTTGATTCTTAAGAACCAAACAAGCACCAAAAAAATCCTGAAGTATTCTGTGCACAATTTAAGTGCTATTTTTACAGCTATTATTTTAGCATTTTTCTTTAGAAATCTATGACCTCCATTCTTAGCCTGATGTAAAGAAATATTAGAAAATTTTTGATATTATCTTTTCTAAATCCAGGCCTCAAATTTTGAATAATAAAACCGTTAAGGTGTTACTCATATCTAAACTATTTTTGTAGTTTCCCAAGTGGCCACTAGGCCACACATAATATTTGCTCTCTCATTTTATAAGCAAAGATTTACTTTATGTTTGTAATTAGCTGTATACAATTATGAGAACTGTTCTGCTATATATTGTGCCATATAAAAAAAGAGGGCAAATCAAAAAAAGGAAACACATCCCTAAGTTAACTCGATAAAATGTTAATATAAATGTTTAACAAGTATCCTTTTTTTTTTTAAGGAAGACTAGCCCTGAGCTAACATCTGCTATCAATCCTCCTCTTTTTGCTGAGGAAGAGTGGCCCTGAGCTAACATCCGTTCCCATCTTCCTCTACTTTATATGTGGGATGCCTGCCACAGCATGGCTTGTCAAGTGGTGCCATGTCCACATCTGGGATCTGAACCGGCGAACCCCGGGCTGCTGAAGCGGAATGGGGGCACTTAACAACTGCACCACCGGGCCGGCCTTCTCCCTTTCTTTTTTTTTTTTTTTAGCAATTATACTTTTTAAGTCGGATAGAGCATACTTATATTCATATGAAATACTAACAGAAAACTGCCAACAGATTTTGTTCCTGGGTATAAATGCCCTTCTCATTTGGTGGCAATAATAGCAAATACTTTATGGGCTATATCAGAAGGCCCTTGGAGATTTGTCAGTGTCTTCACTAGACCTAAATAGAGGATTCTATCTTACTCCATATTATAATATTGATTAATCTACTAAATTAACCAGATATATTCTCTCTTATCATCAACAGATGGTTACTGTTTCTCCAAACACTTATCTCTAAACGTTCCTGCTACAAAATACAGATCTGAAATTGAGTTTTCCAGAGCATCAAAAGAACTTTAATAAATAACCGTACCAGGTACCTGTCAGACTCTACCACAGAACTGATTTAAGATTTTCCAAGCCATATTAGAAGCAGGCTACCTAACCCAAGATCAGAAAAGTAAGAATTAATGACTTAGGATGAATGAACTGATTTGATTGTTGTTAAAGTTTCTTTACTAAAGCCTTCTTATACTTTCAGTTGCTGTCTTTTTCAAACTGATTCCTAAAATTTTAGAAAGATACTCTATTAGAAGAACTTCTGATAATTGTCAGGAGTACTTAGGAATAATGACTCTGTAGAAAGTATGATACATATTGATTGGCCTGTGTACAAAACAACACAGAAGAGTGATTGGATTTTATACAAAATGCTTTTTCACAGGAATGTGATTATTAACATAGGCTTAAAACTAATTGATCCTCCTTAAAACAAGTAGGCCTTTATCCCTTTTCACAACTATGTCATTAAAACAGAGCAACTTGAACAAAAGATAAAATTTAAAGTACTGTTTTATAAAATACCTAATGGCCTGATTATATTTGATAAGTCCTTGATCTTGGTTTTCTAAACATGTTGAAATATGTATTTCTTATACTATTTGCAGAGTTTTATTTCTGCTACGGAGAAAGAAATGTGATGGCTGAAATTCATAAGATGCATTAAATACATATTAGTAGTTAGAAAGTAGAGCATGTGTGTGTTAAGTATACAGAGAAAGGAATAAAGGACCGAGAGATGCGTAATATTCCTGAGGCACTAGCTGTACTTGATAACCTGGACACGTGAGATACTGGAGGCAATAAATATTCATGATACACTAAATATATTTGGGATAGCCATTCTGGCCCCATGTGTCCTTTGCCCAAGATACACAACTAAAACCCATGGCTATCGGACAGGCAGACCGTGAGCAACAACTGTGGCCAGCCATAATCATCTCCAATAGACTAAATGCCTGTCATTGGCCAAGGGTACCCTGTGTTTGTGGACTTTCTTGCCCAAACCTGGACTCCTGTCTTCATAATCACACCTTGCTTGCACACCGTCAGGAAGGCTCATACAGCAGAGAGAAACATATCTGAACGTTATTTAACCCATGGTTCAGCTACTGTGGTTCATCTCCTTGCACCCTTATCCTAAGTCTTATCTTACCCCAGGTCTTTCCCCTTGTTTCATGCTATGTGTTTAAATTGACTTTAAAAACCATGCATCCCCAGCATTTTATCTGAATCTTTTTGTGTCCGGGGAGCTCGCCTGGTAGTGTAGTATTTGAAGGCTACCAGGGCACCAAGGTAATTTCCCACAGGACAGTGGGGAATCAAAAGTGGAAGCAGGGAAACCGCTGAGGAGACTGAAGCCAGTAATCTAAGGGAAAGATGATAGTCCTCACACCAGAGTGGTAGCATTTTGGTATTGAGAATTGATCAGTTTCCATACATATTTTGAAGGCAAAACCAAGAGGATTTCTGGAAGAATTGAATGTAAGTATGAAAAAGGACAAGGATGAAGTTATTATTAACTGAATGGAGAAGTCTTTTCATGAAAGGAGATTAGTAGGGGGGAATATTGGTTCTATTTTGGACGTGTTAACCTTCAGATGTCTATTAAACATCCACAGGAAGAAAGAAAGTAGGGAGTTGGGTACAAGTCTAGAGTTTGGGAGAGAAGGCTGGGTTGGAGATATAAAATTGGAAGTCATTGATGTACAGATGGTATTTAAAGCCTGAGCCTGGTGAGATCTCCAAAGAGTGAGCATAGAGAGAGAAGTAGTAAAAACTTAGCCCTGTGTCCCCCAACCTTAAGGGTTTTGGGAGAAAAGATGAACCAGCAATAGATACAGAGCCTCCGGTAAAATAGAACCAGGTGAAGAAAATATATCACAGAGAAATTGTGGGGTCAATTATGTCAATGTTTCCAATAGGTCAAATAAAATGAAGGCTAGTAATCGGCCACTGTATGCAGCAAAGTGATTTTTGTATTAGTTTATTTTCTGTCTTTCCCTAGTAAAAAATAAATACTATGAGGACAGGAATTTTTTTCTTTGCTGTATCACCAGGGCCAAGCACAGTGGCTGAAGCCAGCAGTCAATCAGTAATATTTAGTGACTAAATGAATTAAGTAATGTTCCTGATGCTATCAACAGAGACCCCTCCTAACTGACTCTATTAAGGTATACTCTCTAAGGTAGAGTCCTTAACAAATCTATGTTAAGTAATACATGCTAAATCTCAGGGCATTTAGTCATTACACTTTTGGTTTGATTTTAGAGTAAAGACTACGGTTTCTTTTTAGAAGTAGTTTTCCCAGTACAGCTGGAAAGTAAAGCTAAGCTGTTGTCTTAGGCTTTTGATGTCTTGTCTCTGACCACTGAACCTAGCAGATGTTTATAGCAAGATCTTTTTATGCAACAAACTTTGATGCATTAACCATATATAAAATAAACCTGTGAGCTTTGAACTAAATCCTCTCTTGGGAGAAAGGTAAGAACCTGAACTCTTGAACAGAACCTGTAGCCTCTCATTACACCAAAGGATTGATCCTTTGTCCCTTAATGTGGCTCAGAGCTTTGGGGCTTACAGTTCTACAGCCTTTGAGTGTGTTCTCTTATTTAAAGTTGAAATTGATAAAACAATGGTTTTAAAAGACTGAGATGTCCTCCTAGATTGGAAAAGATCTGTGGGACCAGTATCAATGGGAAGGACTAATGAGTCATATCTGAGGTAACCCAACCCCAGAAATTCTGATTGAATTGGTCTAGAGAAAGAACTAGTAATTGATATTTAAACAAATGAAAAACTTTTCCACGTAATTCTTACATGTTGTCACATAAGAGATCTCTGGTCCACATGATGTCTGGGTTTCTTTTTGGCAGTTAAATTCTATTCTATTCAGAAAAATGAGATGAGATTAATAGAAAGTTAGTGAGAACATGGAGTTAGGGGAAAACAAAAGTCACAGCAAACCTATCCAGTTATGCTGAATGCACTCTTGGAAAGCGAAGGAAGGCTTGTCCTGTCCTTCATTTACCACCCAGACTGTGAATACAAACAGTTATGATATTGTAGAAATAATCAAGATAATACCTTGTTGGTGAGGAAGAATTTTCCTCTACCCTTCAGGGTTCTTTCAGCTGGTCTAATAAATCAAAATAAGATAGATTAACAGGAAAAAATAAAATTTAGTTTCATACATAAGAGAACCCCACATGCATGAGAGAGTCACAGACCCCACATACTTGAGAGGTTTGAACACAGAGGGGTAAAATGAGGTATTTATGCCATCTTGAGGCAAGAGGACCTGGTGCTTCAGAGATGAGGGTGATTCACAGAACAATAAGAACAGATGTTCAGTAATTAGACGCCATACAGACAGGTCAGAAAAAATTTATTTCCAGTAATAGCTCATTATGGGCAAGCTTCTCAATTTGAATTCTTTAAGGGAGAGGTAAAGTTTCTCTTGAGCCTGCCAGGTCTCCATTGCCTTTAGCTCAAAACATTCAACATGTCAAAGTAGCACATCTTGGGGAGGCCTATTCTGAACCTCTTCAATCTCCATTTGCAAAAATTGTTTGAAAAAAACATCGGACATTAGGGTATTTCCAATAGCACCATAACGGAGACTAGAATGTCTCCTAATCTAATCATGCAATGGTTAGCTGAATCTTGACTGGAATGTGATGGTTAAATACAGTTGCTCACACCCAGTGGTCACAAAGTCAGATGCAATTAGAGTCGAGGCATAAATGAGTAATAATAAATGCTTCATGTTGCACTTACTGTGTCAGGCACTGGTATTTAAGCACTTTTCATTTATCAACTCACTAATCCTCACAATCCTTTGAGCTAGTTATTACTATCGTCATCACGTGATTGTTTAAATGAAGAAACTGAGGCCAGAAAAGATAGGTAATTTAGCCTGTTCTCACAGTTAGAAACTGTAGGCATAGCTTTGATCCCAAGCCATCGGCTTCTAATAGTTGTGCTTAAACCTTTTACCATCTTGCATCACTTTGGTAGTAAAGTTGTAAAACAAGATATTTACATCTTAACTTTTAAATTATTTTTTTCTTTTTTACATCCTAAATGAAGAGATTATTCTTTATGTCCCAAGTATACATGGGTCTGGTCATCGATGCCAGATCTGACAATTTTTCAAGAGCTAAAAATAAATGCATTTCTCATGTACACATGTTTACATTAGTGATAAACTCAAATTAAGAAAAAAATGTCTCAGAACACATCTGCCCTCCACACGTGGTGCATAAACTTTGTACTTTTGCTGTATCTGAATCAGTTCCTGTAACTGTCTCTGACGAGTTTGTAATCACCAATGACATTTCACCACGTAAATTAGCGAGTGCCGATTATGAGCGTCATTGTTCAATACTTTTACACATTCAAGTCTATTAGTAATTTAAACTGTTCTCTCCACTCGTTGTGGTAAACATGACTGAGACCAGCAATAGGTTATTTACTGTTCCTCCAGGCACATTGAATATACCAGTGACCTCCTGAGTCGACTAGACACGTTTTACATTTAGACGGAACATAGCAACCTCTAAAGACTCCCCACAAGCTTATCTCCTTGAGCAAACTAAATCAAGATCCCCTACTAACTGCACTTGTAAAAGTTGTTGGTTAAAAGGCTGGTAAACAGCAGTGGGGACCTCTGCTGAACACGGGTGCGGTGGAGCACGCAGGCGACTCCGCCCGGCGTTAAATGGCGACGCAGAAGAGTGACTCCACTCCAGCCTGTTGTGGTCTGGACACTTAGCTCCACGAAATATGAATGTCAAGCCAGCGTCACCGCTCCTCAGATGACAGGGTGAGGGGCCCTGAAAAGGGCCTTTTGTTACGTGAACGGAGTTGACAGAGCGAACACTCAGCCGCCGAAGCCGTAAAGGGTGCGCCCCTGGCGCTTGAGCGCGTAGACCACGTCCATGGCGGTGACCGTCTTGCGCTTGGCGTGCTCGGTGTAGGTGACCGCGTCCCGGATGACGTTCTCCAGGAAGACCTTGAGCACCCCGCGGGTCTCCTCGTAGATGAGGCCGGAGATGCGCTTGACGCCGCCACGCCGGGCCAGGCGCCGGATGGCGGGCTTGGTGATGCCCTGGATGTTGTCCCGCAGCACTTTACGGTGGCGCTTGGCGCCGCCTTTGCCCAGGCCCTTGCCGCCTTTGCCACGACCAGACATGGTGAGAGACAAAACCCCACAACGCTTTGTCGCCGCGCCGGCCGATGCAGGCCTTTATAGGTCCGTTGGCGGACCGAATTGAGAACGCAAGAAAGGAGGCGGGAATTCTCCCCTGAGTGGGGGAGGGGCATCTACTGGCAACACACAGGCCTTTTTATGTTCCCTTGTACTGTTTTGAACCGTAGTAACTATTTTGTTACCACGTCTTAAGACTTTAAAAATTACTTTTGAATGAGAACGCAAAACATTGATGTTGTGGAAAATACAAAAAAGGATAAGCAATAAAAGAACAACAACCCGTTATCCCACCATGCAGAGATCACCACTGCTAGCTAATTCAATGTCTTGGTGAAGAGATAGATGTACATATTTTTTCAAAGAAAATTTGCACAATGGCAGACTTGGAGTTTTGGAACCTCTTTACACATTATATGTTACTCAATTTCCCTTATCTAAGGAGAAAAAAGAATTTTTTTCTTGTTACTTAAATGAACCCATTTGTTATAGGCTAACAATGTTTGAAACGGCAAAGCTTCTACTGGTCTGTCAGTTCCTTCAGTCTTCTGATGGCAGACTTTGCTGTGACTGCAGAAGAGGGATTGCAGGTCAAGGTGACACCAGCTGCCGTTTTCATGCAGGAACCACAGTGGCAGATCCCCACAGCCCGTCTCTTCCTCTTGGTTTTGCCACAGAAGGAACAAGTGTACATGGCGTGACGGCTGATTTCAATTTTCTTCACCATTTTCCTGAGAGGCACCATAATGGACAGCATATTTACCAATGACTCCTACCTGTTTGGTGTGTTTAGCCATGTCACTGCAAAGTAGCTCTGAGCCCAGAGAGTGAAAAAAGTTATTTTTAGTGTCTGCTTATTATTCCTTCTTATGAATTCTCCATAGTACAATTTTAACCAATTCCCTAGCAGCCAGTTTTAGTTTTTTAAATAATTCACTTTTTCCACATTTAACATAAGTTTACTTCTTCACTATACTTGGGTATACTATACTATACTGAAAATTCTAATGAAGGGTAGCAAAATGTGCCACTCTAAAATATGCCTGTTTCTCATAAGGATTGTTTTTGAGAAAAAATATACAGGAGAAGCTCTAAAAACATTAGAATTTAGCCTTTTGTAAGGGGAATTTACACTTATAAGGGAAATCTCCATTGGTAAGGGTATCTCCCTTTGTGTACCAGGAACAGAATGATGACTAAATCACAAGAAATTCTCATCAGTGAAGAAAATACAGAACTTAAATCTACCTAACAACTTTACCCTTGTTCACTGAGCTTCTCCTAGCAACCTCCTATTGTTACCAGAACATTGAGTTCTTGTTGTTTCCCAGGATAGAAATCAAGAGAGACAACCAATGGGAGCAGAAAAGTAAAAGTTTTATTAGCTTGTGCACAGGAGAGGCACAACAAAGCAGGTACAGAAAGGAAAGGGGCAGCTGGCCAGCTCGTTAGGGAGCGGGATTGTGGGGATTTTATTAGGCCAAGGCTGGGGAGGAGTGCCTTGTGATGGCATGTAGAGGTGGGCTTTCCCTGCACCTGTGCTGTTGTTCAATATGCCACCTCATGTGATGCATGTATCATTAACACGCTAGCTCTCTACCCCTGGGTGTGCTTTTTACTATGGTGATGGGCCTAGGGTCACATTCAGTGGACTCCTGGGTGCTGGGACACATGCCTAAACCCAGGAAAGCCCTGAGGCTGTGGAATGGGGATCTTGGTGGCCTCTGTCTGAATCTCCTAGCCTGCCTATTGGTTAAGGCCCATCTTGTTAGGGCCTTATCTCATTAGGCCTGGGGCCTTGCAGATGGCCTTGTCTCATTAGGCTGGTTCCTGCCTCACTATAACTGGTCTCCCCCTCTCCCCACTTCCCTTTCATCCCCTCACCCCAACATCTTTCTTTTGTCTTTAGCTGAAGATGTCTTTTAAGGTGGTGGCTTGGGGCATTTAGGGGAATTTTACTAAGTTCTCCTTGGTGTCTCCCATGCACATATTGTAGGGGAGGAAGACAAATCCTCTACCCACTCTAGGTCCTTCTGTCTGGGCTATGAATTAAATTCATCTGAGACAGAATAACAGGAGAAAATCAAACAAAGCTGTATACATGGGAGACACTCAGGAAAACTGAGCAACTCACCAAAATGGGGGAGGCTGTTCCCTTAACTACTATTTTTGGCTAAAGACAGAGGAGAGTGTTGGGGATAGTGGTTTGGGGCTTCAAAGGGGAGGAAGGCAATTCACACGGAAAGGGAAAAGCAAGTGTTTGGTAGACAGAACTTTGATAAGAATGGGCTTAACAAGGACCCTCACGGTCTATGGATACCCAGAGTTATCTATGGTGATGGCTTGTCCCGGGGACAGGAAGCCCTTCTCTCTTAAATTCTTTCAGGCAGTTAGGGGGAAGGTCAAAGTCTCATTCAGAGTCTTTTGTTCTTAAAAATAATCAAGGCAAGGCAAAGAGATACATTTTGGGGTGGCCAATTCTGATCTCCCACAATGTACATGAGATGTACATGTTATTAAACTTCTGTTTGTCTCTTGTTAATCGGACTTATTACCAGGGTGGGAGAGTGTCTCAGTCACAGAAACCAGAAGGGTGGAGGGAAAATAATTTTCCTTCCCCCAAGTTATTCTTTTCTATTACATCAAAAAATTTAAACTGTAGTTGTATTAGAGATCATAATTTGGTACCGCAGTTCTCATTATTTATTTTCAAAATTTCCTAATCTAGTTTCACAAGATTCCTCTTTTGGGCAATCATTTTGTGGACTTTGAAAACAATTTCCTTTGGGCTTTTAATCATAATTGCATTAACTTTATAAATTAATTGGAATAGAATTAAAATCCTTTAAAAATCAAGTTCTCATATCCAGAAACTTGGTGTTTCTAGTTTTTTTAAAAGCCTTTTATTTTTTAGTGACCAAACTAAAGATTTGATTTTCATACAATATTTAAAATGGAATAATCTTTTATTCATACAGTGAATTTTCTTTTTTATTTCCCCCCCAACAAATATAGGGTTATCCTCTGAAATTGTTTCAACACTAATGTAATTTTTAAAACTCCAATAACTATTTTAATGTAACCTCTCATTCTTCAATTGTTTGTTTGAAAAGTGGTTACAAGCTGAAACGTTGCAGTTAGAAAAACCTGGTCTTAAATTAAATCTTCTCTACTGACCAAATTTTAGCTGACTTGCTTATGCTGTCTAAAATCTTTGCTCATCTATAAAGTTGTATTGGAGTAGGAAGAGTACTTACTTCATGAAGTTACTGTAAGAATTAATGGAGATAACTGTTATAAAATACTGAATATAGAGCCTACCTCTATTTAATATAATAAGTAATTTTTATTTTTAGTAACTAGATTTAAAATATTCTGTATTTATATTGAATGGGTTCAGAACCAGTATTCCCAGAATGTGCCACTTTGGCATGTAGATTATTTTAAGCTGAAGACAATTAAGGCCCAGGAGACTGAGGAAGAGCTTTTTACCTCCTTGTTAACTGCCTGAATGAATTTAGATAGGGGGCCTGGTCCAGGAAGAGAGCTATCACCAGAGATAACTACGAAAATTATGGGCTAGTGTGGTAAACTGTGGGGGAGATTGGCAGGGCCTGTTTCTTCAAATTCCTCTCTGTGTCCCATTGTCTCTGCATAGCTTGACAAACATTTGTTTATCAAACATTTGCTCTTTCCTTCTTCCTGTGAATTGTCTTCCTTCCCATTGAAGCCTCAGGCCCCCATCCCCTTCTCCAAATCTCAGGATGGCATATAATCCTCAATTGCCTAACTGCCCTGGAACCTCTTATGTTTATGTGAGGCTCCAGTACATAAGAAATGAAATTTGTTTTTCTCCTGTTAATCTGTGTTATGTTAATTTAATTAATAGACCAGTCAAAAGAACCTGGAAAGTGTTGGGGAGGGACAAATTTTCCTTTACCCTCCTAGGTTCTTCATTTATATATCTATCAAATATATTAAAATATATTTACATTAATAAATAATAAAAAGATACATTAAAATATTGTATATTTCATATTAAATAATATATTAAATAACATTTGTTTTTACTACATATCTGTTATTAACACCAAGTCCAGAGTCATTTTAAACATGCATTTATAGATTTTTATTGACATTTATTTTTGGTCAAAGTATATTTTAATATTTATTAGCCTGAATAAAATAAACATCTATTACCTTGTTCTTCTGTGCAAATTTCTGATATATGGATGTAAATTTTTATCAAGTATTCTCTATTTTGAAACAGTTTTTAATTAGTATCCTAACAACTAAAAATATAAGTGGAGGATAGTCACAGTAAAGGACCCATTCCTGCTCCATCTTTACCAAAACCCCACCCTCAGACACTACCACTACAGCAGTAAAATTAATATTTTTATATAAACAGTTGCAGTAGTAAGCAGAGATAAAAGTCTGGAAAAGGAGAAACTTATAAAAACTACAAAAAACAATCTTAGGAGAAAGGCATTATTTGGGAGCCTCAGAAATGTGTATTGTTGGGAGCTCCCTAATTCTCCGCCTTTAGTTTTTGCCCCTTGTCCAGTGTCCCTGCCTTCCTCCAAACTACTGGACCCCAAAGTCACTCAAGCTTTTTCATTATTCCGGTAGGTAATTAATTTTCATTAAAATCAGTAGCATTTATTTAAATATGAGGTTGTTGATAGATTGGAAGAAGCAGGAGGTAGACTCAATTAACAAGGTCATCCAGATCAACCTTTTTCCAGATAAATTACTATCGTGAAGTGATAAGGCAGGATAAGTCTTTCCAACTGGTCTTTGCGCCATGGACCCCTCTGATCTTAAGTCGGCCTCCTCCATTTTAACTACTTTGAATATTCATTTAACAATCCCTACATTTTCCTGTATGCAATCTTATCCTCATTTAACCTCAACTTCTTTTTTGCTCTTATTTTATATCACTTAATTTTATTATGAAATTAACAAATTTGTTGACCGTATTTTATGGGCTTGTCATTAAACTAGGGTCTAGGGAGATGTAAATATAAATAAAACTCAGTCTCTAAGGGACTTTGTAAATTAGTGGATAAGATGCACAATAAATCTAATATGGAAAGACACTGTGGGGTGCTTTCGTAGTTGTCCAGAGTCTGTAAGGAGAGAAATTAATAAGAAGACTAACTCCAGAAAGGAAGTTTAAATAATACTTTCATAAATCTTCTGCCACTGAAATTGAACTTTTCCTTTTATGAAAATAACTTTAAAGTATAAACCATGACATTCTAAAAACTTCTTCAGGATTTAATTGCAATTAAAAATATCTAAATTATTTTAGCAAGACTTTTTTTTTTTTTTTTTGCTGAGGAACATTTGCCTAAGCTAACATCTGTCACCAATCTTCCTCTTTTTGCTTGAGGAAAATTCATCCTGAGCTACCCTCTGTGGCTAATCTTCCTCTGTCTTGTATGTGAGTCACCGCCACAGCATGGCTGATGAATGATGTAGGTCCACACCAGAGAACCAAATCTGGGCCACCAATGTGGAGTGCACCAAACTTAACCACCCGGCAACTGGGCCGGCCCCAGCAAGATTTTTTTGAAAGTTTTGTTATCTTCACTTTTAAATCCAAGTTTTAATTTGTTTCTGATTATGCGGATAGTTTCTGTTCATGTATCAAGTAAACTCGTAGGTGCTTTTTCCAATGAGATTGGCGTAATAGTCAATTAATTCAAAAAATGTGGAATTATAAACAATGATATACATATCACACTTGAATATTTTATTTTACCTAAAATATAAAAATTTATATTCATTTGTCAGTTATTTGATTATAGGTTCATTGATTTGATAAATCAAAACCACAACAATAATTATAATGGTATGATTTTAACAATGTGGTGGTTCTTAAAGGGGGGAACAGAAACAATGCAATAAAGCAAGTGCTAGTAATTGCATCACCAACATCAATAATAAGAACAACATAATATTATATTATTAAAAACGAAAGAAGTCAAGGGGGTCTCCTTTGGAGCTATTTCACTTATTCTACTTGACATTTCTAGTTCTAAGAGAAATAGTTGTTTAAAACTTACACAAATAATGCAGATGACTTTTTAAGAGGGAAAAACTGAATAATAAGATTCACAGAAATCAGGATTTGGGTACTGCAACATCAAATAATCATAAACTAAAAAGAAAAGGAAAGAAAGGTAGTATTTACCTCCTTTTTGTGATTGCTGCAATCACTTTTATTCCAAGGAATATTATTTGCATGTGATTGTAGTTGAGATTTAAATATAGGAAATACAAATATTTCAAGACTTGGAAAATATGTTTATTCCAATGGACTAGAAATGCCATAGAAATTCATTTCCATTAAGATATATTCATGAGGAAAAACTAAACTAGCTGATGTGCACTTAGGTGGAGAGGAATTGAAGGCTCTCTAGCTGGGGTGACTTGGTGATCTGAGAAGGCTGTGAGTGATGATGGTGGGGGAAGGGGACAGCAAAAATCGGCAATATCAGGACTATATGATCCTGATGTGGTAAGGTAAAGAATCTGATTTACAATGTCCACCTTTCGTAATATTTGTTGTTAAGGCACACGACCTTCCTAATCAATTCCACACCACCTTTACTTCACTACCATTTATGTAAACAGTCCTTTATGAATTGTATTCTCTGCCTGAACTGATACCGAAACGAGGAATTTACCTGCCTGGATTACTACAGCATCCCCATTTTGGAGGGTGAGGTGTCCTTAGATTCAAAGACCAAATCATAGGGTGCTCAATTTTTGTCCCAGATGGACATTTAATCCTACACAGGTTATCACCAGGATATCCAAATTTTGCCCTAGCGGGTCTATCAAATTCAAGCTGTATTTATTCAGTAAAGGTTTTGTTCTTTACAAGGCAAACTAATTCAGGGCCTTAGGAAAATAAAACAATATACTTTTTAAATGACTTAGTCAAACTTTCTTTATAGTATTAGTTCATATTCAACATCTCGCTGCTATCCTGGAACAATGTCACTTGAAGACACAGCTCACTTTTGTGATAAAGTGGTTGGCTCTGAAAAGAGCCTTTTGGTTTGGACAGGAGATATAAGCTGCACGCTATGCCAGACTTCTACTTGCCCTTGGCCTTGTGGTGGCTCTCGGTCTTCTTGGGCAGCAGCACGGCCTGGATGTTGGGCAGCACACCACCCTGCGCGATGGTCACTTTGCCCAGCAGCTTGTTGAGCTCCTCGTCGTTGCGGATGGCCAGCTGCAGGTGGCGCGGGATGATGCGCGTCTTCTTGTTGTCGCGCGCCGCGTTGCCCGCCAGCTCCAGGATCTCGGCCGTCAGGTACTCCAGCACCGCCGCCAGGTAAACGGGAGCACCGGCCCCCACCCGTTCGGAGTAGTTGCCCTTGCGGAGCAGGCGGTGCACTCGGCCCACGGGGAACTGCAGACCAGCTCGAGAAGAGCGGGTCTTGGCCTTGGCGCGAGCTTTGCCGCCCTGCTTGCCTCGTCCGGACATGATGAGGGTGTAACCACTGACCAGACTAATGTCTGAATTGAGCCAACCAGAGCTACATTACTTATAGTCTTTACTGGGCGCGAAAATGAAAGTGTACTATTGGCTAAAACTACAATTTCACTTAAACCAATGGAATCGTGGTTTTGAAATACGTTTATTTTGATTGGGCAAAATCAACATGACGTTTCAAGGATTCTCCACCAATCAGAGACAGGACTTTATTCACTGCCTTCTTTGTATAAGAAGCAGTGAATGAAGAGGACATTTACAGTCTCATACTCATTCTTCTTATTACCCTCTGGTGTTCCTGCCATCGTTGTCGACCATGCCTGAACCTTCTAAGTCGGCCCCTGCTCCGAAGAAGGGCTCCAAGAAGGCGGTGACCAAGGCGCAGAAGAAGGACGGCAAGAAGCGCAAGCGCAGCCGCAAGGAGAGCTACTCCGTCTACGTGTACAAGGTGCTGAAGCAGGTCCACCCCGACACCGGCATCTCGTCCAAGGCCATGGGCATCATGAACTCGTTCGTCAACGACATCTTCGAGCGCATCGCGGGCGAGGCGTCGCGCCTGGCGCATTACAACAAGCGCTCGACCATCACCTCCAGGGAGATCCAGACGGCCGTGCGCCTGCTGCTGCCCGGGGAGCTGGCCAAGCACGCCGTGTCCGAGGGCACCAAGGCCGTCACCAAGTACACCAGCTCCAAGTGAGCCCGTCTGCAGCGGAGTGACTCGTCAAGCTAGGCCCACACCCCAAAGGCTCTTTTCAGAGCCACTCAGTATTCCAAAGAGAACTGGCACTCGCTTTTTACAGCGGTAAGTGTTTCTTATTTGCTACAGAGGAACCGTTTCCGCGTTTCCACATCTTGATCTTGTTCGAGTTTATTTTCACTACAATGTACGTGATGCAGCAACGCTCGAGACATTTATGAACAAGCATCACGTTCATTAGATAAATGTAGTAAAGAAAAACAATGTACCCTTTGTCCCCAAACAAAATCCGCTCACCTTTAAAAATGTTACCCTAGCAGAAGTTTTCGCCAGCAATTCCTTGAGCGCTGTCCTTCATTTTGCCGCGTGCCTGAACTAATGAAGCGCTTGGCACACTCTAAGAAACATACAGATCGTCTCAATTATTTGAGTTTACGTTTGGGGGCTGTGGTGGCTCTCTTCCCTTTCCCTGACTTTGTATTTGCCACATACTAACTTAGAAAGGCAGAAGAAAAAAAATGGAAGTGAACCCAATTTACGCGTCAGTCAGGCGCCGCGTTGACACCGAGAGCCAATCCAGACGCTGCGCGGGCAGTTTGAAATTAACCACCGATTTCCCTTTGCGAGTCTGTCCTAATTGGGAGAATTCTGGGAAGTGTGGCTTTGTGGTAGGAAATCTGCCATTTCACCCTCTCCTCATTTCTCTGAGTGAAATTCCCCTACGAAAGGGGTTAGGTTTTACTCGCTACCCTTTCTGTCAGGGTCTGCTGCATATTTTTCTCTCTGTGTGACTTGCATTTACTATTTCTCTATTAAGTGGAAGAAATTTTAAGAAACTGGGAAGTAGAGCAGGAGAAGGGCTGTTCCCTCACCCCCTCGCCAATTCAGGAAGTCAAAATCCATCTCCATTTTAAGCCCTCAGGAATGGCATATTTAAAACTATTGGGTTTTTGCCGGAAAACGGCATGGAAACGCTTCCACATTGAACCGTATCAGCTGAAGGTTTTTGACGATACCTTTTATCCAGTTACAACACTCCACTGATAATTTCACTCTGAGGTGTTTACATGAGAATATTGTGTGCACACGCAACAGGAGACATACAAAATGGAGTAGCGTTATTCTTAACAGCAAAATAGAAGCAACCACACGTTCATGGCCAAAAGAACAAACACATTTATTGAGGTATATTCACACAATGGGATATCATATAGCAGAGAAAATAATTGAAATACACAGTACTTGGCTGAATTTCAGAAACATAAATCTCAGAAGTTTCATATATAACATTTTATAAAGCTCAAAAATAGAACCAAAGTATCTGTTAAAGAGAACTTCATGAATAAATTTTTTAAAATATCAGGCAGTGGGTACCTCAGGGATAAAGGCAGAGCAAGGGGATAGGGAAAAAACAGTAAATACGCCGACATTCTAGATTTGGGATTAGCAGTTCTATCATGAGTGTTTTATGTACTTTGCTTTATACTTTAAGTGGACGTTACATGGATTCCCTTTATGTATCAGATACTGTGCTGAAAAATAGAATAGAGAGGGAAACAACCTGTGTATAGAAACAACTTCTAGGCATCGTATATTTGTCAAAAAGGAAAGTTCATACGTGAGAACCTAATAGTGTTTCTCTAGATAATATTAACATTCTTTTAAAGAGTAGGAGAAAAGGAAGACAGAGGTCATTAAAATGGCCTGTGGACTTAAAACACTCAAGATTTTGGCTACAGTTAGAGTCAGTAGCTGCCCCCTCCAGCTCCTCCAGCTCCTCTAGCTCTTGTAAACTTCCTGTTTATACAGCTTCTCAAAATCTCTGTGACAGCTCCCTGATGGCGGTGTGTATATATACATGTGCATGTGTGTATTTTGTATATATTTTATGTATTTAAATATATATGTATGTATATCCCTCCCTCAATTCTGTTAGAAGAGAAATTATACTTTTTCATTTATGTATCTTCTCTCCTACCATGTCCCTCTCAAGATATTTGAGGACAGTATACTCGCCATACATTTGGGGTTTTTTTCATCACTACTTTTCAGAGTACATGTGCCTTTGATCCTGTCCATTCATCCATTAATTCAGATCATTGGCAGAAAATTCTGATATTGTTTTGTTTTACAGAATGAGGAAACAGCAGATGAAATTCAGGAGAGGAAATGGGAAGAGCATTTAGAGAGATTAAGTTACCTAAACACATTCTCCAGGCCCAGGATATATATATATATATATTTTCTCCATATAGTCATATATATATATATATAGGTATTCATATATACATATATTCACATATATATATAAGTTTGGTCTATCAGAGAGTGCTTGATGACTTGGAATTGTCAGCGGGGAAGATGTCTAGAAGAATATGAAGGAGGGGCCGGCTAAAGCCTGTGGGCAGAATAGAAAGGAGCATGCAGAAGAAATTGGTGGCCCCTCTATACAAGGTTTACATGTCAAGTTCATTACACTCCAGTAGTTAGAAAGTTAAAATTTCTAAAAGAGAGGGTGAGAAAAATTTTAAAAAAAAACTCAAAGCTAGATTTTGTGGGTTATTTGCACCTTGGTGAGCTAAGGTAAGGGTCTAACCCTTTGTTGCTGAAGTTATCTTGATTAATTTATGCCATCATTGATCAGCCTTGGGAAATTGATTTGAGCTAATCCAAACCTGGATGTCACTTTATTGTTTTACACTGGGGTTTATACTTAGTATCTTCAAGAATTCATGTGATTTGCCCCAAATAATTTTAGGTCAATTTTTTTTTTCCCTAAAGAACAATTTATAGAACAGAAAGGGAACTGATTGGAGCATAGAAATAGATCAGAGACTCTGAAGGACAGTTTTTCCAAGTTATGTCACCTGAAAATGGCCTTTGTTCAGCCTAGAGAAATTTATGTTTTTGTCATTGGAAACAGCACTTCCTTCCACGGAGATTGTTCAAAATGTACTGACAAAGCTTAACTCTTTTTTTACTCCTGTCTAGATTCCATGTAGTTTACCATCCTTCAGTTATGACATTATATTGGGCACTTTAATTTGGCTACCACTTATCTTAGTTACATTTTAGATTCCCTGATGCGGAACACGCACGCATCTCATCCTCCAAAAATATCCAAACCTTCTCAAATGGGTATTGCTTCTACAGATGACTAGTTTATCCATTTCCTAACACCTTTTAACTTCTATTTCAGAGGTTCACCTTTTCTGATATTGTCACTAAATCATAAAAATGCTGCCTGTTGGGAGACTTCGTGAAGTAAAGAAGAGGTGTGGTAGTAAAAAACAAACAAATTAACAAAAACACAAGGAAATTTTTCCAGACCTGAATAGTGATAAAAAATTTCTATCAGGGGCTGGCCCCGTGGCTGAGTGGTTAAGTTCGCGCGCTCCGCTGCAGGCGGCCCAGTGTTTCGTTAGTTCGAATCCTGGGCGCGGACATGGCACTGCTCATCAGACCACGCTGAGGCAGCGTCCCACATGCCACAAGTAGAAGAACCCACAACGAAGAATACACAACTATGTACCGGGGGGCTTTGGGGAGAAAAAGGAAAAAAAAAAATTTCTATCAACTCCTATAGAGTTGAACACTCACATAAGTATTCCTAGGGGTCAATGATGTGACTGATTCAAATTAAGGGTTTATTAAGGGCCTAAAAATGCAAAGAACAATGCTAAGAACTAGATGGGGATAGACTCTGAGGACAAATAACTCCACCCACTGCAGGTTTGTAACAATTCCCACACCTGATAGAAGGAAGAATAACTTAAGAGCCTCAGCCAAAGGTCTGTGTTTACATTAGAAATAAGCAATTATTTTTGATGGAGAAATTGTGAAAAGCTGTAAGGTTACACTGGGATGCCAAGGATATTAATTTGAGGCGAACCTTTAAATTTCAAGACCCAAGGGCAGAGACTCAGGCCAGGTCCTAGTGCAGCCATTTGGAGAAGCAGTGGGGGTTGCAACCTGTGTTCATGGATGACCTGTGAGGTCAATGCTTAATGTAGTTTATTAAACAATACTATCCAGCAGTGTGCTCCTTGATATTCACCCAAAGGAGTTGAAGCTTGTGTACATGCAAAACCTGCACGTGGATGTTTATAGCAGCTTTATTCATAATTACCAAAACTTGGAAGCAACAAAGATGTCCTTCAGTAGGTGAATGGATAAATATTAACTGTGGTGCATTCAGACAATGGAGTATCATTCAGTGCTAAAAAGAAATGAGATGTGAAGCCATGAGAAGACATGGAGGAACTTTAAATGTATATTAGTAGTGGAAGAAACCAATCTGAAAATGCTACATACTATATGATTCCAACTGTATGATATGTT